ACTAGCCCTTGATGAAGAACTAAATTATTTAAAAGCAATAGCTATTGACAGGGGCTTTTCACCCAACATTATTAATCAAGCAGTTAAAAAATTCTCATCTCAACACACTAAAAGCCACACTCTTATTTTAGGAGATTATAAAAATTCTGTTGTCATTCCCTTCTTTCCATCAATTAGCTATAAAGTTGCACATATTTTGCAGAAATTTAACTTTCGAGTTGTTTACTTTCCCATCAATAAAATTCCAACTTCTATACTCAAGGACCCCGTTCCGGATATGAATTCCTGGGGTATTTATAGGATTCCTTGCCAGTGCGGTTTAATTTACATTGGCCAAACTAAGAGAGCCTTAAAATTTCACGTCAAAGAACATGAGGCATATGTTAGAAAAAAGGAAACACAGAAGTCTTCTGTTGCTCAACATTGTTGGTCCGAAAATCACACTTTCAATTTTTCTGCTGCCAAAATTATTCAAAAAACATCTTCCATTGGAGAACTGGATTTTCTAGAGGCATTTCACATTCATAAAAATCTTTCTGTTCTAGTTAACGATCCTAATTCCAATCCAAATTTGCCTTCGGCTTTTAGAGAAATTATGTTTAGTTCTGGTTTCGCCAACAGATGGCGCCACTTGCTTATTCTTGTCCAGGCTTTCTTATCTTATCTAAACATTATTTCCTATCTTGTTCATTTGCGGTTTTGCAGCTGAAGATGATGGTTCGGTAAAACCATCGAAACTAGTCCTGTGAAAATTTTGTAAATTAACGCTGATTTTTGTTGTTTGACTTCTGAATTAGTATTTATTCGGCGTGTTATTGTGTCTTAATTATAGAAGCCCCAAACAGGCTTACATTTTACTTTCTTTTTTGCACGTGGTGTGGCCGCCATTTTGTGATTGTAGGAGTTTCGGTGAGTACATTTTTGCAATTTTCAAGTTATGTTTACGTTTTGTACATTTGGATATTGTGCTTTGCTTGTCTGATTTCATGCATTTTGCTTACAAACATTTTGTTTTCTATTCATTTCAGTGAGGGATTTTTTCTGCTATTTTGTGTGTACTTTATTATTGCTCAGTTAATTTAGTTTGATTTTCTGCATTGTTTATATCATGCCTTCATCCGTTAATCGTTTCACTAAATTACGCCTGAAACGGCAAAAATTCCTGAATCATCTTGACTTTTTACTTAAATGTAAATGTAAAAATTGATCCCCAATTTTATTCAAATCAAATCTAATCAAAAACCTTCGAGTCGCGTTTCAAGAATTCTGTTAAATTGCAAACTTGCCTTACTTCGGTCCGTGATAAGGGATACACGTCAACAATTGTCCAAAATTGAACATGAACTCTATAAGCTTCATCTGGAACTCGCTAAAACATATCCAAAATTCACTGCCCGTTGAACAAAAGTCTTGGTCTAGAACGGAGAATGCAGTTAACCGTCATAAAAACACCCTTGCAGTTAAATTCGAAAAACTTCTTTTACAGTCTTCCAGTCCAAGTAGTTCAAAAAATCTTCCCATTGTAAACATCAAGCCAATAGTTAATATTTCTAATGTTAGTCTTTCAGAAGAACAAGAGAGAATTCTAAAATATAATTTTAACTTCTCACAAACCTGTAAACCTCGATTCCAAAGATTTTGGCTCCTATCGAAAAAGCTTTCAAGTTTCAGTAAAGTTTCAGATTTACAGAAAGAAATGATTAGGCATCTTATCGCTCATAATGTGAAATTCAATAATAAACCTTTGAAACCAAATCTAACTGCGAGAGAAAGAGCTACAATGCGCGAGATTCATTCTAACCCGGATATTGTCATTTCAAAGGCCGACAAAGGTGGCCAGATAGTCGTCATGGATAAGAACACTTACATCGATGGTGTCACTAAACTCTTAAACGAAGGACCATATAATCCGATCCCTAAAGATCCTTCACCTTCGGACTTATCCAAAATAAAAACTGCGATCAAATCTTCGCAAATCATTTCAAGCAACTTAAAACATTCGCTTATCCCATCTGTTGTGAATTGTGCCAGATTATATGCTCTTCTTCCCAAAATTCATAAAAGTGGTATTCCTTTCCGCCCTATTGTATCAAATTTAGGTACTGCCTCGTATCCATTAGCTAAATATTTAGTTTCTAGATTTTCCACTCTATTAGACAATAACATTTACACCATAAAAAATTCAATAGAGTTTGTAAAAAAGGTTAAAAACATTTCTCCTCGTAATTTACTCATGGTTTCTTTTGATGTAAAATCATTATTCACCAATGTCCCAGTGGAGGGTGCATTAAGATGTCTAGAAACCAGACTTCGCGAATTTCATTTCTCTTGCATCGAAATTGATGAGCTAATTTCTCTCACTCAACTCTGTTTGAAAAAAAAACACATTTTGTTTTCCAAAATAAATATTACAAGCAAACTGAGGGATTAGCCACGGGAAGCCCCCTCAGTCCCATCCTGGCTGATATCTACATGCATTATTATGAATCAAAATTATTTGAATCTTTAAACTTCCTGGCATGGTTCCGCTACGTAGACGATACTTTTACCCTGTTTGAAGGTAATAAAGATGATTTAAATAGAGTTCTTTCAACAATGAATTCTATTGATCCTGCTATTCAGTTCACTTTTGAACTTGAGACTTGCAATTCTCTTCCGTTTCTCGACATTCTGGTCACACGTAACACATCCAACTTCAGTACTACAGTTTACCCTAAACCTTCATCGGTTTGCCTTCCACCACACTTTAAATCATGTCATCCGACTAAACAAAAGTTAGCTTCATTTTATTCCTATGTTTTCCGTGCTCTTCAAGTTTGCTCCTCCAAACTAGCCCTTGATGAAGAACTAAATTATTTAAAAGCAATAGCTATTGACAGGGGCTTTTCACCCAACATTATTAATCAAGCAGTTAAAAAAATTCTCATCTCAACACACACTAAAAGCCACACTCTTATTTTAGGAGATTATAAAAATTCTGTTGTCATTCCCTTCTTTCCATCAATTAGCTATAAAGTTGCACATATTTTGCAGAAATTTAACTTTCGGGTTGTTTACTCTCCCATCAATAAAATTCCATACTTCTATACTCAAGGACCCCATTCCGGATATGAATTCCTGGGGTATTTATAGGATTCCTTGCCAGTGCGGTTTAATTTACATTGGCCAAACTAAGAGAGCCTTAAAATTTCGCGTCAAAGAACATGAGGCATATGTTAGAAAAAAGGAAACACAGAAGTCTTCTGTTGCTCAACATTGTTGGTCCGAAAATCACACTTTCAATTTTTCTGCTGCCAAAATTATTCAAAAACATCTTCCATTGGAGAACTGGATTTTCTAGAGGCATTTCACATTCATAAAAATATTTCTGTTCTAGTTAACGATCCTAATTCCAATCCAAATTTGCCTTCGGCTTTTAGAGAAATTATGTTTTAGTTCTGGTTTCGCCAACAGATGGTGCCACTTGCTTATTCTTGTCCAGGCTTTCTTATCTTATCTAAACATTATTTCCTATCTTGTTCATTTGCGGTTTTGCAGCTGAAGATGATGGTTCGGTAAAACCATCGAAACTAGTCCTGTGAAAATTTTGTAAATTAACGCTGATGTTTGTTGTTTGACTTCTGAATTAGTAGTTCACTTGTATTTCAAAACTTAGAGTATGATAGCATTTTTTCCCCCTCAGCCACTCTGAACTACAACTATTGAATCAGTGACTATAGGGGTCTAACAGTATTATTTAATCATGAAGTGTAACTGCAAAATGAACTTCTGAATGACTAACAAATCCTTCTATTAGTAGGAATAAGAAAACTGTATAAACTAAGAGATCTAATTAAGATACAATAACACGCTGAACAAGTATTAGTTTAGAAGTCAAACAACAAAAATCTAATCACTTTATCTTATCTCATTCATTTGCACTTTTGCAGTTGAGGCTGATGGTTTGAAACTAGTCCAGTGAAAATTCGAAAACATAACGCTGATTTTTGTTGTTTGACTTCTAAATTAAGAGATCTAACTTTCTCACTTTCTGGAATGTACAGAAATTGACTCAGTTTAACCACAAAGTATGACTGCACAAAGAAATTTCAAATGATTATTTGCAGGCACCGTGGAATCTTCAACACGACTTTCTCATATCCATTATGATGTAATACCGCTGCAAGAAAATGTTTTTTTGATTCTATAAAAAAACACTTTTTTTACAGCGGTATCACCACCATGATTTTATGCTATGTTTTAACTTAGATGCACTTATCCCATCTTATTAATGAAAAATGCTAATTCATAATTTCAAAGCAAATATAAAAACTCTGAGACTGGAAACTACAGTTTCATAGTTCAAATTTTTTTCAGAAAGGATGCACTAGTATGCCAATTTCAAATTTTTCCACAGAAAGTAAAGCAAAGAATGCCTTAACAAGAGTTTGATTTTTTTTCTATGCTCTACATGTATCTGAGAAAATGTGCAACATCTTGAAATACCAGAGAAATGTGCAATACAGGAAAGAAAACAGAGGTGTACGAGCTTTTCAAGCAAAAAATACCGCCAGATGGATAAATGTGTACATAGTAACCTAATTCTTGTGATTTCCCTGCTATAAACAAAGTAACAATCATGAAAGTTCAAGTTTACTCAAAATTTGATTTTAACCCGATTAACAGCCAAGGTCCTTCAAATAACTGATTGAAATGTTCCTACTGCAGAGAAATTATGTATTTTAATTTCAGAATTATATTAACTTTATGATCATTCACTTGTCATCTAGAAAACACTTTTTAGTAGAACAGGAAAAACTTATACAAAGCACAGATTTTTAATTTTAAAAATAATCTAACTGGAAGAAAAACATGATAACATAAAAAGAAAAATGTTTTTTTACTCCTGCATTTGTTTCTGCTTTTAAGAAGATACGGATTAGTAATCCTACAGTTTTAAAATATCTTTTGGGGGCACCATGTAGCTTAAAACAACTCTTTAAAATATTTTTAATAATTACCTATTGTAATTTGATTTATAGACTTCAAAATCTGCATCAGGTGATCGGTTTTTATAGGCATTCGGTGTCTCCAACTTTGTACAGTTCAAACAGCGTAGGAAAACTTTAGCCAGCTGAACATTTATTTGAAATATATCCTTACTCACATTGCTAAATTGATAATTTACAAAATTTGTAACAGCCTAAAAAAGAAATTATGTTAATTAAATAAATAATGAAATTTATTAACTGTATTAAATGCATTCAAAACTAATTCTTTACCAAATACACTGGCAGGAAAAAATAAAGGAACTGAAATGCCTTGTAAAAACAATGAATTTTCATGTGTATGACACACATTTGGACAATCAGCCTTAGACTGACTATCCACGTACATCTAGAAAAAAACTACATGGCAAACATTCACAAATATTCCTTCCAGCCAACAATCCTTAATATCGCAAGATCAGGTGTTCACATTTCATTGTGCTGCCAACATAAAAGGGCATGCACACTCGATAAGGGACAGATTTTCACATCTAGAGATAGCTGTTTAGCTTATGGAAATAAGTTCCTGAGGAGCTGTGTGAAATGACAGTGTGTTAAAAATGTTTCTTCGATCATTTTCATCGTAAATAGTTTTGAAATTTGTATTTTAATCCAAAATAAAAGTTTTTATCTCTTTAACTTCACAACCCTGTTTTTCAAAATAACCTGTGACCTGTGACATTACAATCTCACTGAGAAGGCAATGAGCAGATTGTGAGAAATGGCATGCGATTGGGAGAATGGAAACATGATAAACACTGGTACAGATCTGCAATACCCAAAAGTAATCAAGAGCATCATGTCAAGAATTTGGAACTATTTTAAAGACACTGGTAGACTGAACAACCAAGTCAAGATCAAAATCATTCCACACCAGACTCTCAGGGCCATTATTTGACAACTGTTATTAAAAGAAATAGGCAACTGATATCCATCCAAATCTTGGATGTTGATTGCAGATAAAAGAACTTGATTATCCAAATATACCATGAGCAGCAAGCTGCATAAGGGTTGTATGCAAGAAAATCCATGATTTATGACCCTCCGGCTGTGAAATTATCCTGATTACAATGGCCCAGACATCATAATGATTGGAGCCCCACAGATTTGAACAGAGTTCTCTTTATTGATGAGCCTTCTTTTATCTGGACAGCGATTCCAGACAAATTACAATCTTGAGGAAGCAATACAAACGGAATAAACCTGAAAACATTCAGATAGGCATTGGTAAAAATGTGATGAAATCAAGGTATGGGAAGGTATCATTTAAAATGGCTGCATTGACCTAAATATTTTTACCAGTACAACTATGAATGATGAAGTATACAAAGATGAAGTTCTTGATCCTTATGTCAGGTTATTTAGGGATTTAATCATTAACTAATATTGCCCTCCTAATGAACAATAATGCTCGTCTTCATGCTACTATAATGGCCAGTTATCTTGTAAGCAAAGTAATTTAGTAGATGGAGCCAAGGCTGGATGAGGCACTGAGCAGTTGTGCAAACACTGAATGGGCCACTGCCTCAGGAAGGGCTAGATGTGACCTACAAGCCGTGATGCAACATGTGTTAAAGGGGCATATCTATATTGTATGAGAAAAAAATGGTTACCATATCTAGACTATCTTTATTATGATTAAAATTGCAATGAACTTGATAGAAAATTTTAAAATATATATATTGAGACAAACAGGGCACAGTGTTAAAGTGGAACAGCTGCCATGTGATGGAATAGTATAAAAGCTCTGCTACGGTGCTCATTGGGGCAGATGTGATGGCTGACACCTCCCTCCCATTCGATGTTCCTGGCAAGCATCTCTTTGGCTTATGCTGTCTGTGGTTGCTAACCCATTTTGTACATTACAAAATAGAGTAGTATCCCACCAGCACTGTATCCTCCTACCAAATAGACAGATGGGCCATGATGAGGATTCTATGAATCCAATCACAATGCGCTGACTGGAATCAGTGCACAACGGCAATAAAATAACTGGCGGTGTGGTATGAAGAAGTGTTACCCTACAAAATTCACTGGTTTTACTATCCAAAAGTACACCGCCCAAGTCTAAGGGTATCTTTATTGTCAAATAATAGAAAATGTGCTCTTAAAGTGGAATATTTTAAGGCAAATGGGCCTTTGCAAAGTACATTCAAATCACTCACTGTTACTGCATGGTGATGAAAATGAACAGTGCTGAAGGAAAACATGATAATCTTCATAAAAAGTTCCAAAACTATGAGCAACAAGTAATATAGTAAATAAGGTATACACCTACAAGTTTACATACTTAGTGAACATTATTTTGAATATCACTTAAGAAAAGATAAAAAAATTTTTGTGAATGCATGAAAACTGCATAATTAGTACTAAATTTCCGTACTCATATATATATATATAGTTATGTTATTTATAGGTATATGGTATACACTTATAAGGTTACATACTTATTGAACATGATTTTGGATACCACTTAAGGAAAGATTTTTTTAAAATTATTTTTTGTGCATCCATGAGCATCACATAATTAACATCCAGCACTCATATATAATAATGTTATTTGTAGGTAAGTGCCAAGGTTTTTCAATATACTAAAGGCGCTTGTTTGTTTGTTATTATCCTTATGATTGATTCTCTGAAAGTTACATTGTTTAACAGGTGTTAAGTTCAGTATAATATTTTTCCTTAATTTTTCATTGGCAATACAACATACTCAACCTCTTATTTTCTTTTTCTACAATTTTCACTTGATAAGTTAATTTGTATGAGACATTGGACGTATATTGATTTGCAGTTTTATCCAGATCCTGCAACTTTTTTGCAAAGCTTGGTTTTTTATTATTATTATTATTTCCTGAACATGACATCTGTTTTTTTCCAACGATAAGGTACTACATGATAATTAAATTAAGCACTCAGTCTAAAGTGAGACCACAGCAAATTTCAGGTGAAATCTTCAAAAATAATGATATTGAAAAGTCAAACAAGTAAAATTAAAAAATTTTAACATGCACAAATTGCTAGTATTAAAAACTGTACTCATTTATAGTTAGTATTTTTATTTGTTTATCTATTAAATTAAATATCTCCTTAGTAAACTTAATAAATAAATATATATATAAAACATGCATTATAAATACTACAATCATAACCTGCGCAATACTAGGTGACTCAAATGGAGGAGACTGATGGGGCTTTGTTAAAACTATTGCAGGTTTTGTTAAAAGCAGAACACTTTTCTTAAGAACCTGAAAAATGTACATATAAAATAATTAAAATATCTATTTTATGATTCAAGTAAAAATTATTTGAACTAACATATTATTTTAACTCATTTGGATGGGAGAGAAAAATAATATACAGACATACATAAGAAGAAACATCAATGAAATTTAAATAAAGGGAGTTCAAATATTCAGCATACATAATACATTAGATAAAAAATTTTTATACTTTTAAGCAATAATTTATATTGATAAAGTAAGCAAGAAAGTCAAAGCAATAACTCTCTCAAATAAAAAAATTAAAAATGAAACATTATAGAACAAGATCTTAGATATATCAGAGTATATTCCAAAATGGGTTTCAATAAAAGTTTCTTGCCACCATAAATATCATCTGTGCAAACAGTTGGTATTGGCATGTTTAATCATATTTTGTCAAATGATTTTTGGCATTTGAAAGAAAGAGACTTTAGAACACTGTGTTGTGAAATTTGTAAAAAAACATCATTATACAGGTATAAGGTGTTTGAAATGGAACTATCAAACTACCAGATTAGAACCATCATTTACTTCCAGTTCTGTTGCAAAAAGTCAGCTACAAAATGTCACCAAATTACGTATACAGTTTTAGATACTAATGTTGTATCATATGACACTGTGAAGGTTTGGACTGAAAGTTTGAAAACAAGGACTCTAACTAGTTTGAAAACAAGGACTTTAATTGGTTATTAAGGTCTGCTTACTGCTTCAAGAAGCTCTAGCCTGCTTACTGATATTGAAGAGGCCTGCCTGCGAGAACTTCTAGAAAAAAGATCAGTATGCAACCACTCGAGAGCTTGCTAAGGAGTTAGATGTTAGTATCATGTCCATTAGTCATGCTGTTCATTGCATAAACTTGACACACAAGATCAATCACTGGGTGTCGCATGAACTGATTCAAGCAGATAAGGACAGACATGCTGATTTCTTTGGAGACTGTCAAACGCAATAAAGAAGTTCACTAGTTTTTTTTTTTTTTTTTTTAATAGTTACCGAGATGATGTTCACTAGGTTAAAAAAAACCTAGTGAACTTTTTTATTAAAAAAAAACCTAGTGAATCATCAGGTTCATAATGCCTTTGAACCTTGGTATCAAAGATATATTGGTTATTAACTGATTATAGCAAAACATGCAATAGCATAATACTTTAGGAGGAATGAAGTAATGCTTTAGGAGGAATGCTCCGATGTGAAGGCTCATATTCACAATATAAAGAGGTAAGCCTAAAAATTATGAAGCCATTCTGATTGTGGAGAACTAACAACAGGTATACTGCAAATGTTCAGCATTCTTATCCACCCAATCAAAGCTATATTGCAATGAATTTTTTTAACACTAGACACTTGCATGGTCAGTCACCCCAAGACAGTTATCATAGAAAAGAAATATATATATATATATATATATATATATATATACATATAATGATTTTAATTAATCTAACTTGTGTATTTCATAGGCCTACCTTGTAATTAATAATAATAAAAATTTGGAAAAAAATAAATATTTTACATTTTGCTGACTCGCAACATGCTGATGAGCAGATGATAAAAATATTTTATTTTAGGCAATGGCAGTACATTTCCTTTAAATTACTGAGCCTGTTGATTAAATCTGCAAGACAGATACTTTATGTTTTGCTGAGCGGCAACACACTTCTTTTGAACTGTCAAATCTGTTTATCAAACTTTCATTAAATTCACTCAAAATATCAAATAAAAAAATCTTTGAAATTCAATATTTCAATTTTGAAGTGCATGTATTCTGGTGGAGATTTATGTGTGTTCAAAATACGATGGTTCTAGATACTGTCATTTTTCCACGATATGAGGAACACACATGCATAGATTCTTGACTATTTAAAAATAGAGATAATGAAATTTTTAGTTTTTCTACAATGTTTCAATAATATTATAAAACACACTAATTTTCAAAATTAACAAAAACATTAATTCTATATTCAATTTTTTTTTCTTAACAGATTAATATATTCATTAAGAGCTCTGTGCAAAATGCCAAATAATGAGGCAGCCTACTAAAAATGATACCAGTCAATACTTAGCAACATTACATAAAATGGTACTTGCTTGTTATGTGGCCACTACAGGCCCTTTAGCAAAATCTGACAAGATTTAAAGTTAATTTGGTGAAAACTAAAAAAGTACCATGGCAATCTTCAAAGAATGAAAAATTACAATCTACAGAGAAAAGATTTATTATTGTGGAGGTCATAATTTGGCAAATGCTGCTATTATAGAATCAAATATTGATACAAACATTTATTTTTACAATTTTCTGCTTCCCCCCCAAAAAAAAACTATAGTCTGATGCTACTAGTGGTAGTAAAGGCATGTCTAAACTTCCACTGTTAGATGACAACAGTGGCATAACCATGTAGAGGTAATTTTAAGTTTCATCAGCCAACTTCATTGTTTAAAATTAAATCTTACTATGCTTGGCCATATTGTACGTGCCTGCTAATATTCACCGGGGTTCCCTTGTAGCTCACTAGATGGTAATCAAGAAACATAAGCCAGTAGTTGATGCAGCAATCCGTCTTCAAGAAAATAAGCATTACCATCAAAGACAACATCACAGCGATGTGCACGCTGCAGCACCAAGAAAAACGCTTAAGAACAGTGTGGGAATGCAGCACATGCAAAGTTGCACTTTGCTTGAAAAAGAAAAACTGCTTCCATGAGTACCATAGAGACTGATTTGTGAAGATGTGTTCTGTGGGCAGTGGTCGCTGACACTAACCACTAGAAGTGGTCATTTTTTTCATGCATCTTGAACAAAATATGTGTAATTGTCGTAAATAATTTTATTGTAACACCTGATATAGTAAATAAAACAAGAGTTTTGCTGAAAAAATTAATTGCCTTTTCCTGCCCCTCAAAGAGTTAAGGGCCAACTACATTAGATAGTTTTGTACAGCTTCGGCTACGTTCAAATTAGTTTAGCATTAGATTAGTTCCTTATCGTCTCATCGAGTTAAATCTCAAGTGGAGGCTTTTCTGTAAGCCCAAGAAAGAGGCCATCTGCATTCTTAGTTCGTTGAGATAATAAAAGATAAGTTTAACCCTTCTCTGGACTTGTTCATTTACACACTTGGACTCAGCAATAAGCTGCTACATAGTTCTAGTTAAGCATAGACAAAATAGTTAGAAACATTACAACTATAATGACGCTGAAAGATGAACCACTTCATCCTGAACTTCTGCACAGATTTACTTAATACATGACTTAAAAATCATCTACATAAAATAAGAAAATACAGCAAAATTTTGTTTAAAACTCACTTTTTTTTTTTAAAAGGATTGCAAACTGTATTAATCAAAATTACTTTTATAAAAGATACATGATACACTATAATAAGCATAATATATAAACTCAACTCACTTTAGAAAGGGTAAAATATATTTGTTTAGTGTCGGTATCTTCTTCATTGCGAAGCAACATTGTTAAGTTTTCAATGTCAACAACTCTGCCCAGAAGTCCATTCAAATCATCATCACTAAAATTCTTCAAATGAGATATATGATCAGCTAGGGATAACAAATAAAATGAGCTTTTAGCACATAATAAATTATATTTACAGCTTTTTAACAGTGATAAAGTGATGCTTTCTACTACATTTTTTTTTTTTTCCCCGGAAAGAAAATAGATCAGGAAAAAAAAAAAAAAATGTAGTTCTGCTGCTGCTAGTCAGAGACACGTAATAAACAGCTAAATATGGTTCCTGAAATTTTAAACACTACTGCTTGCTTCTTTTTGGGAGCTTAAACTAACGAGCTCTTGAAGACTGTATGAGGAATTATCCTCAGGTCTTGACAACAACAAAGTCAGAAGAAGGGTGTAAAAAACCCTTTATTCAATTATATAAAGTTGAACAGACAGCCCCACTTTGGCTTACATAAGCCAACACTTCTGGCTTAACTCAAAATAGTAATGTTGAACTTAAAATAAAATGTAATTAAACTAGTCTAATGGTTCACATGATAATTTAAATGTGCAGAAAGGCCCTGACTCGCAAATGCTTATGGAAACAATCCTAATTGCTAGAAGCACTCAAGGCCATAGAATCAAATCTCCAGTACATTAAAGTAACAATGTAGCCTTCAAGCAGTCATAACATACTCTAAAACCACCTTCGAAAACCTTTGCTTAAACGACACTTCTTTGTAGCTTAATTTGAATAACTGCATGACATCTGATTAGCATTCTGGCAAGAAAGTGTGGGTGAAAAACGAGGATGAAAGGAAAGTTGCTTTAACTATTAGTCAAAATAAATAAATAAATCCTCACAGGACTTTTGAATCAACCTTTGCTTGTAGAAAATTTTTAAAGTCTTACTGACATCCAGATCTTAAGGTTGTACTACACTAGTGCACTTTGCTGGAAATAAAACAACTTTCACATTTTGCAAGAAATCTGTTGTTTGAGGATGGGTGGTACACTAATCTGAAATCTCTAAAAAATAAAATTTTGCAGTTTTGTCTCTCATATATATATATATTTATTTTATTGAGACATTCTATAAAAACATGTCCATAACAATCCATGCTTTCTTATTTGCTTTATATTCTAATGACAGTGTTTTAACATGATTGAAGCACCTTGTTTTTTGGTGATTTCCCTATAACTGAGTCATCATTTTTTATACAATCAGCATTGCAATAAAACAGAGAGACATTCTTTACTTTGCTTAGCTCCATAAAACTCGCCATTTTTTAGAGCTAGGGTTCTTGCAGGCAGAAGTTTAACTCTTTTTTCTCTTCGGTTTATAAAGAAAAGGTCAATTTCATCAACATTAAAAATGTCTTTTAATTTTGTTTTGGTATGTAAATTCTTGAACCACTCTTCAACTGACTCTGCATGAATGCTTTTTGATTCTCCAATTATTATATGACATGAGATTCCATGCCACAGTTTAAATTTATGCAACTATCCAGTTGAAAAGCAAGCTTCCTTCACATTCAATTAAAGTGCTATTCTTTTGACTTCTTGATTACCATGGGAGCCATTCACACAAATATTGGAAGTACAACACTGAATGAAAAATTTCAGCAAAATGCCTCAAAAACTCCCTCTGAACTCCAAAGGAACTCAGATAATGTTCTACCTTGAACATGTAATTACTTTGAAGCAGACTGTCTACAAATTTTTGCTCTTCCTCAAGTTTTTTTCTATCATAAATAACTGTTTTTAGAGTTGTCATGAGAATATCTATTTCTTTGCTAACTCAGTTTTGCTAACTTTCATCAAACCAGTATTCTCATCAAAACAAAAGTGCCTTTCACTTTCACGATATTTTGTATCAAGTAATTCTGCTCCACTTAGTTTATTTAACAAAGCGTCCTGCTCAGAAGAAAAACCATACCTGTTTTCCCTTCTAAGTATCCCTTCTATTCATGAAATATTCTTCAACTCCTGTACCAGACTGTGATGTCTCAAGCCTTTGTTTTTTTCTCCTATCTCCAATTTTAGAAAAAAACACTTGAACAGTGGGACTGCCAAATGTAAAACCAATGCAGTAAGTCAAACAAAAGTAACATATAGCCGAAGTTATTTGATGTATAAAAGAAATATTTTACTATTAAAATAAATATTTGGGGTCAATTTATAATATAAAATAAATAATTGGGAATTGGGACCAAGAAGTTATGTAGCAGTGTAAAAGACACATAAATCAATTCTCTCTATGACAGAAGTCTGCACTTTTTTAAAATTCTTTTCAGTAATTCATCGATATCAGATTTCTTATTTCATAATCATCCTTTCTAGAAATTAATATTTATTCTTTAATGTTTGTAATTTAAAAAAAATAAATACTTCCTTGCTAAAAAAAAAAAAGAAAAAGAAAAACTGAAAAATCAGCATGAAACTGGCTGTTTTATTTTAGGTCTAAATACCACATTTCATCATGGCACATAAAAATACATTTAAACTTTACAACATTAAAACATTCCTTGTTTACAATCATATTTGTTTATGAAAGGTTGACAAAATGGTCACATGGAATGAGCTGATTTAAAAAATTTTTAGATTTAGAAATTCAGATTATTTCTTAAATTCAATTCAGACAATTCAGAGATAATTTCAGAGATTTATTCAGATAATTTTTTCAGATTATATTGCTGATTTAGAAATGGTTTTATTACCATTCAGAGTTTTCAGCTATATTTTAGTAAATGACCCTCATTCAACAATGCAAATTATCTTTTCCAGTAATTCTCTAATATATATTTGATTTTATATATGATCAAATATGAAAACGATATGGGTATCAAAATTCTGTAAATATGATTTTGTGGTTAACAGTAAATTGTAGAGATTTTACTTTTCTGTGGTTGCAGGATTAAGCAATTCTTTCTTTCCAAATATGTGCCCTATCTGTCAGTCATAAATTTGATATACAATCTGGTTCGTCTGCTCCCACTGCACTGTGTGAGCTGAGCTCGTTCATAAGCATTACCCCATTAATTTTAGTTAGTAATTTGTTTTTTCCATGTCAATAAAATATGCATATAATAGATGTCATTACTTACTCCTATACATATTTTTATTTTAAAAATGGCAGTGCAATTATTATGCACACCTACACTATACACTTTCATATTCAACAACTATGATTATGGCATTATGAAGATTTTCAACACTTTTTTTTGTTGCATTTGTCAATAAGTACAGAAATGGAATATTAAAACAGATTTTTTAACAGACATATTAAACATTAACATTAAACAGACACATTTTCAGAAGTATTTCAATTCATGAAAAAATGTGAAATTATTTTACCAGTGTATCTTTTTGTTTATGTCGCATAGGAAATGTGTGTGTGTGTGATTATGGCAAAGCCTCAAGGGCTATCTGCCTAAGGTGAGGTATGCGTTGAGGACTTTCTAAGGGAAACTGGCTCGTATACACGTTAAACATGGGGAAAACCACAAAAACGACCATGCAGCCAGGCCGTTCGCGAGATTCGAACCTCGGACCGAACTACCAGTGTTCAGTGACTTTACGGCTCGGCTGCTGGTGGGTCCTTTATGTTGCATAGAAATAATACTTTTTGGATAGTTATGTATTTTACCTTTGACTATTTTCAATAAACAAAACTGTTACCAAACAGTACGCTTTAGTATCAATAAAGGATACGTGTGACATTTCTAAACATTCACAAGATTTTTCTCTTCGGTTTTTATGTCCTCTAAGTTTTCAGTCCCTCTAAGTTCATTATAACATGATTCAACTATAGTTTCAAGACCCGAGTTTATGTTTATATTTAAATATTTTATATGCTGTAACTTATATCTGCTGATTATCTAATTAAATAAAGAGTGAGCTGTAGTTATGTAACTAAGTAAATAATCTTTGTACCTTCAAATTTCTTATGTTCCTTTATTGTCACACGTATCCTTTATTGATACTAAAGCGTACTTATAGTACGCTAAAGCATACTATAAGTACACTTTAGTATCTATTAGTATCTAAGCTGTAGTTATGTAACTAAGTAAATAATCATTCGTACCTTCAAACTTCTCACAGAATAATTAGCATAAGTTTGGCAGAATCTCCATCAATGTTCACAGTCAAAAAAAAAATAATTGCTTTTTTTTTTTTTTTTTTTACTTGAATATGGCAAAATATTTCAGGATTGACTCCTTAGAAAGGACTTTTTAACAGAAATTGACTGATATTTATACACAAACTAGACTAAACATTACAAATGGACACACACAGCTACCATCCTTTGTGAAATAAGTAACCAGTTGTTCAGGGGTCTTATCCACTTAACAGATGAGCTGTACACTGCTGGTACTACATAAGGTAATGATATTTCTTAATAAAGAAGCTCTTTGTGTATTTTGCCACATTTCCTTTTTAAATTATCATATTGAGTATATTCCTAGCTCCCTAGCAATGCTTTTAAGTAAAATGCTGTATCATTCAACAGTGTCTCCAGCTAAGCGTTTAAGTAATTCTGCATCATTGCACAGTGTATGATTATTGAGAATTACAGTCAAAAGTCATTAATCCAGATTTCCGGCAATTCTGGATTATCGATTTTTCCGGATTATAGATCATCAATTTAAATATGGTAAGATGGCATGCAGAAATTATAAAATTAAAAATATGAAACCGTAATTTATGAAATAAAGAACAATTATGATCTAAAGGATATCAAAATTTACAAAAAGAAAAAGCTTAATATTTATTTGTTTACTTTATTAAACATTTCTTTTAATGTAAGTTGTTTAAGTTCCTTCGTTTCATGTGATAATACCTTCTATTTAATTCTATTAAACAGATATAATTTCTTGTTTAGTTACAAAGTTCCGCTGTTCAAGTCCTATAATTGCTGTGTCGAGAATACTGACTAATTTGTTAATCAAAATTTTTCGTTTTCAATAACCTCTGTGTCACTTTCTTCACTATCAGAAGTGAATTATAATGACGAGGAACTTGATTTAAATCATATCAAAGATGGAGTACATCGAGATGAAATACTACATTTAATAAGGAATTATAAGCCAAATAAAATAAAAACATCTGCCCTGAAGATAAGGACAGTGCTGACAGATCAACTTCCAATTTATTGCGCGCCGCGGCGTCCCCCCCCAAGAGCAGCATGAAATTGATAAACAGATTTCGGAACATACTTTTGCTTTGTAGATCCTTTACATATTAGTAAATATATATCGGAAATTCTATTTGACATAATCGAAAGTTAGAGCTTACTTTTATAAAATTGCTCTAATAGTCTGCAAAAAATAATAAGCCGGATCCAATTCGAAGATTAAGGAACAATGCAATCTGCAACATTAACTGAATTAGATAATTTTAGTTAAGCTTATACCGTCCGTTATACATTAAACACACATGCGTAAACATATTATGCGCATGCGCACATGCATACTCGCAGCCGTAAAGGTCTTACGCGCACGCGTAAATGCCTATGCGCATGCACAGAAAGTTTGTACTTTTGAGGTCCGGATTATACATTATTCTGGATTATGGGTGTCCGAATTAATGACTTTTGACTGTATTCATTTCAAGTCATAGGACAATCTCTTATTTTTATTTATAGTTACATCAATTCTTGATACAAGAATAGCTTTATGTGTTTGATTACCTGAATTTTTGTTATCCTAGAAGCAAATCTGATAAATCAATAATTTAATTTATTGCATAATAGAAGAACTTATTCAGGAGTCAAAAATGGCTTTTTAACAAATCAGCAATTATGTAAAGATAGGCAAACATTTATAAATTAATAAAAAATTATAAATACATCTAAACAGTTTACGTGAACAAGCCATCTTATAATAAACAACTGAAATATTTTAGCTTCAGATATATTCTGTGACTGTGTATGTGATGTTTTATGAAAATATTTTAGTTAAAAAGTTTTAAAGCCAAAATTCACAGATTAAAGAAAACTGCTTTTTAAGTATTATTTTTGGTACTTCCTTAATTATTTTGGCTTTCATTACTTAAAGGCACCAAGCTGTTGATAGACTTTGAGAGAGTGGCAATCCTACTTAGACCTCTTCTCATGAAAAGCAGACTTTGAATGATTGTGGTTATGATTATCAGCCATTTAACCAGAGTCTGCAAACATAGCAGGGCAGCTGCTTTCAGACAGTCTATTAACAACAGGGATCACAGAAGCCACACCTACATAAAAGTACACTTATGCAAAAAAAAGGGGGGCACAGTTCTATATCTCCCTTTCTACTGGGCCGATTGACAAAATTCAAATTATGTTTCTCATGTCTCGAAAGCACGACTTAGGCTATATGTTAGATTTATATACAGCATTGTTCTAACATAGGTATTTTGACACAAAATCAGACTCTTTCTGAAATAACATACCATTTTTTTTTCATATTTTGATTCTATGACTCAATTTATGCCTAGATATTAAATTTTGTAAAATTTGGAGCGAAATTTATGGAGAAATTCAAAACTTTATCTTGGCACAAGATAAAGTTTTTTTTTTCAGTTTTCACCAAGAATAATTCACTTGGCGAACTTCTTAATATGTGGCAACCAATTTTCCTTTCCCTTCCATAATGTGGGGGGGGGATGGAAAAAAAGGCACCTCGTTCCTACCTTTTTACATTGCACATGAATGGAAAAAAAGTCACATCATTTCTATTTCAAAATAATTTTAGCAAAGTGTCTACACCACATTTGATGTTTTATCACTTTCAACAAATATGCCAAATTTCAAAACACACCAATATATAAATTCACCTATATCTTCAGAAATTTTAAATAAAAAACTGTAATTTTTTGCAGGTATACTTAGAAATACGTCTACTTTAGGATTATGGTAAAAATTTTATAGATTATAAATCAAAATTTTTTTTGAAAATTTAAAAAAATTATTTTAAAATACAAATTTTAAAAATAAATCATAAAAAATGGGTAAATTTTATTTGGAATGAACCTAAATTTTGAAATGTGAAAGGAAGAATCAAATAAGCTTAATAAAAAAAAGATTAATAAATATATACTAAACTTAATTAACATCAAGAAGCTAAAATTTTTAGAGCTAATTTTTTAAAAACTACTCATGCAATTTTTACAAAAATTGGTAGTTTGGCGTAATTTGAGTCGTAGAATCGAAATATGGAAAAAAATTGGCATTTTATTTCAGAAAACGCCTGGTTTTGTGTCGAAATGCCTATATTAGAACAATGCTATATATAAATCTAATACATATCCCAAGTCGTGTTTTCGAGACATGAAAAACGCAAGTTGAATTTCGTCAATCAGCCCAGTAGAACAGAAGATATAAAACTGTCTTTTTTTTTCACAGTGTACAATGCTTACATATTAATGCAAACACCTTGGCATAATTTGGTGACATTTCGAAAAAGAAAGATGATTTTTTATTGCAAAAAATTATTTTTTATACACATACATATTTTAATATACGGTACAAAGTCCGTAATCTGGACTCGTCGGGACTTCGGCGATTCCGGATTAGGAGTTTTTCCGCATTATAGATCATCAATTTAAATCTGGTAAGATGGCATGCAGAACTTATACAATTAAAAATATGAAACCGTAATTTACGAAATAAAGAGCAATTATGATCTAAAGGGTATCAAAATTTACAAAAAAAAAAGCTTAATATTTATTTGTTTACTTTCTTTCAATGTAAGTTGTTTAAGTTGCTTTGTTTTTTGTGCTAATACTTTCTCTTTAATTCTATAAACAGACATAATTTCTTGTTCAGTCACAAAGTTCCACTGTTTAAGTCCTGTAATTGCTGTGTCGAGAAAACCGACTAACTTGTCAATCAAAATTTTTTCGTTTTCAATAACCTCTCTGTCACTTTCTTCACTATCGGAAGCAGTTATTTTCTGGATCTAGAACCCTACTACAGATTTCACAGTCTGTTAGTTAATTGATTGATGATTGTTGCATTGTCAAAAAGTTTGTGGCTTTGAGGTCCAGATTATAGATCATTCCAGATAATGGACATCTGGATTATGGACTTCGTATTGTACTATACTCCTCCAAAACTTATACTGCAATGTCTTTCATTGCCTGGCAAATCGCACAACGGCATATATTAAAACCGAACCCAAGACAAACCATATCATGATTTTTCTATAAAAATCCTTACGAGTACAAAAAGAGTACACATGAAAATGGCAATATTGGTTGCTAAAATTGAAGAACATTTCTAGGCATAATTAACTGAAAATTTATGATTTACACGGTTGCCAGAGTTTGGTTCATTCTGAAAATCTGGCAACTTCTATTAAGACGGCTGCTCTAATACATAACTACCAAAAGTATACATTTTTCAATAGCAAAAGAAAGTTTATTTTAACCTGATTTAAAAGACAGACTTGATTCCAAGTAGAAACAATTACAAAAACTGTAAACATTAATTATTTTTGAGGAAATTGATTCTGGATGCATTCCTTTCTTTCAGCCATCTTTCTTTATGTAATTCTAATGCTAATCCAAATGGGGGGAATGATCACTTACACAAGGGATGCTGACAAAGACAGAGACAACTTAAATCTACCCCAGATTCTGATGCATCATAATGAAATGAAGCTTCATTACTGTTGAGATTTTTCCACCTTGTACAAGAACAACTTTTCTCAGCCTGCAAATAAAAAAAGTCAAATTGTAAAAAAAAGCAAATTTAACAAAATAAAACTTTTAGGTATACTTTAAAAGTTAAGATGTTAAAGTGAGAGCTCAATTGTAATTCTTTAATTTATTTGGATATTACTTATTTACACCTTAAATCAGAATCAATAACATAACGAATTGACTAAAGGCATTGACCAAATGCATTTTCTTATTATCTCTAAATAGTTATTGTATATTTGGTTAAATATTCACATAATTTCATAAATTAAATACATATGCTTTAACCCTCTTAGCGACACGGGTTTTTGGATCTGTCATGAAGACCTGTATTCAAAGACACTTTATTAGCTAACTTTGTATATTTACTTACTTTAGGCTCTATTTTCACAAACTTAATTTATTAAGATGATATTTATATTATTAAAGAAAGTAAGAAAGCAAAATATCATAAATTATAAGCTAATATATAACAAATGACAAAAAAATCTCATGACCGGCTAAAGGCGGCCATAACGCTCAGAGGGTTAAGGTAAAAAGAAGGCAGTCTTATAATTTAATGCAACTTTACACTTAACATACATAAAACTTGCAATTTTTCTTTCAACAACAGAATTCCTCCAAAACTTTCAGTCTTTTTAAAGCAAAAAACTATAAGCATAAAAAATTTCTGTTTAAAACTACAGTTTTGCCTAAATGCCTAATTTGCAAAGTACATATGACAAAGAAGAAAAATAACATCACCAATTTAAACAATACTTCCAAAATTTTGTTAGAAAATACAAGTAACAAAAATAATAATTAAATTATTTTTTTAAATTTTCAAAAATAAATAAACCTCTTACCCTGCATGCTGAGAAAGAACTAAGCTTTGCAAATTTTTTATTACGTGGCCACTGCTTCCATTTCTGTTTCTTCTCTGCAATTTGCTCTTTTAAACTTTTTTTAACAGAATCACGGCTTCCAGCTTGAGATTGGCTAGAGGTAGATGGCTTCGAATTCTCATTCATACTGAAAATACTGTAAAAAGCAACCAAAATTCTGCATAGAGTTCAACAATACATAAATACTAAAAAATATACTAAAAAATACAATTATATAGTGTATATCAGAAGATACTATATCCCTAAAATAAAACTTTACATTTTAATGTAATATAATGAATGAAAATTAATAATAAATTAAATTTTATTCAGAAGAATACAGATTTTAATTATTGAGCTTTCAATGCTAGAATTGCATTACTAGGAATAATGCAAGTTTTTCATACTATGACTCACAGGAAATAATTCTAACATAATTAATTATGTAGGATTATGGGGAATTATAACATGATATTGATACCCTTGAAATCTTGAGATTTATGCGTCTAGGTAGTAATCAGGCCTGGCTAGAGTTTATTCATTGCCAATAACAGGAAAGCCATAGAAATAAAAGTCCCGACAGTAACACATTTGAATTTTTAATATTGGAGGAGATTTAGTTCCTTCGATAAATGATTTTTGTAACGGAGCTTATTAGCCCTATACTAAAGAGGTACAATTAGGTCATTACAGACTAACAGATAACACTTTAATAAGACTGAACAGGATAAAATCCTATCAACTATTGGACTATTTTCTGAAAACAAATTTGGAACTACAAATATACAGCATTTAATATAAGAAAGCAGATAACATCCTGACCACTTTTAAGTCCATTCCTTAGCAATGCAAAGGAAATGTGACACTGAAATGAATTTGTATCATTTAAACATTACACATAAACTCTGAAATTGCTACACAATATGCACTAAAAAATTTATTTTTAAATTATTAAAATTTATTTATTAAAAAATTTATTTTTTAGCTATGTAAATTTGAACTCTTTTATGTGTACAGATGATAATTTGTGGCAACAATTGCAAGTTAATTGTTTCAGAATAAATTTTGAAAGAAAGGAAAATGGAGCTGACATAGAATTTTGCAAAAATCAAAATTCTGTCTTGGGTAAATCGATAATCGCTGTTCCTACCAAATAGTGCAGGTACAGCTAGAAGTGAAAAAGACAAAAGAATTTCACAATTGATTGTGCAAGTACAGTCTCGCTACATTAACCGTGCAGTTCCACACCAATTTTAAGGAAAAGCACCCTTAGGGCCAGTCTGAGAGTATCCCACCCTCTTCCCCTACCATCAACCTCTTAAGAGAACTTTTGGCTTGCCATATATTTTGAGTGCCCCCAGACACCACATATATACAAACATCCATGCCTTTTGCAGGATTCAAACCCAGGCCCATAAATATAACAGTCAACGTCATTAACCACTATAACCAGTTGGACAGTTTACAAAATGATACAGAATGAATATAACATTCAGTCTGCCGGTACATATAAAAGAATTTACAAAAAACTCTATATGAAAAATTAATTTTTCTTTGAGTGCCCATAATTTAACAGAAAGCAGAGCATGTCAGGTTCAGTAAGGAAAACCTAAAATTACATAATGGTGGTGGACACTACATTATTTCTAAATCATAACTGGTGATGAAATGCAGTACCCTTTTTTGACAATCTAAGCCCATCAAGAAAGTATGTTCCTTTGAAGATGACCCCAAACAAACAGTGGTGAAAAGATGATAGGCAATGAAAAAAATAATGTGTATAGGTTTCTTCAGAAGTAGAGGATTGGCTAAAGCCAGTCAAGTCAAAGAGGTAAGAGAAAGTTACAGCTAAGTGGTACATCGTTAAAAGTTTTACAGTTCTTCAAGAACTGAATAATAGGAGATTCATGCTTTACCAGAGAGTTGTAGCTAGGGTTTTCAGCACCCAGAAACAACTGAAGATTTCGCGCCCCCTACTGCTTGCCAAGGATGGAAAACATTTAATTCTAAAATGTCGTAACATAAGTTTGGCGCCCCTTGGATTCTGCGCCCGGGGACAGATGCCCCCCTTGAGCTACGCCCCTGCTTTACCATGATAATGGATCTTCACATTCTGCAAGATTGACAATAGAATCTCTTCAACAAACACATATGAAATTGATAGAACATTGAACCTATTCTTCTCATTTTGCTGGGAATTTTAGCTTATATTTTAATCCAAAAAAAAAAAAAAAAAAATTCACTTGATTGTAATCTTTATTTCAAAGATAAAACTGATAAGGTCATATTGGAGGGAATTACTTTGAACACTCCTAAGATTTGGTAAGTTTGCTATTTAATTATAGCTAAAAAAGTGACCCTCATACAAGGCAAACATAATGTATTTCTTCAAATATACACTTTTTCTTGAATTTTGTTAAATTTTAAAATGCACAGAAATGTTTAAATGTCTGCAAGCCATTCCCAAATAGACATGGATGTTTGTAAATGTATAGTGTCTATTTGGCATGGGGGCACTCTAAATATGAGACGGGTTGAAAGTCCTCTTCAGAGGCTGGTGGTAGGGGAAGAGGGGTGAGACCCTAGGACCTGTCCTCCCGAGGTACTCTTCATCAAAACTGGGAGGCGGAACTGAGCTCATACTCTCACCTGTATGGTGCTCAAGGCTCTTGCCAATGACATGCACAATCTTGTACTCTATGCCACGATGAATTTTGTGGGCTTCTTCTGATGTTCTTGTCAGACAAGTGAGATTAGTCACAACAACAACAAAAATTACACACACATTTAATTCTAATTAAATACTCAAATTATTAAAGAGGTTAAATGCAGAATTACATTTACCGCTTAGCAAAAGAGACACATGCCTAGGGTCCAACTGTAAAGATAGGGCATCTGTTATTAATGCTTGAAATAATACCAGAATTTATATCTGACACATTCTACATGGATAGAATAACTATCCTAATTCAATATTTTTACATGCAAATAAGATTTATTTTGTTTATGCTATTATTAGTTCCCATACAGCAAAATGTTTGAGCCAGGTAACAGTAAAATATTTCTAAGAAATGAATACTGATATTCGAAACTGTCAAATAAAATGTCCAGTAATTAAAACTGACTTCACAATTTTATTAAATAACAAAACTCTGCAGAATTTCTTCCTGATAAAACCTTCCTATTAAATTGATGAACAATGCAGCAGTAGAGAGTTGTATCGAGTAATTTTTTTTAAATGTAATTCACAAACTCTATATTTTTCCTTTGAATGGAACATATTAGATGCTTGCACCTTAAAGAAACATTTAATCATAAAACTTTTGTCAAATACAAAATGGACTACGCTAGCTAACGCAAAAGATTAGAGAAATAAATTGTATTTACATAAAAACAACTGATCCAGAAATAAAATGAAAGCTAGCAGTTTAAGTAGAAATGGCTACATTTTGGATAAAGTGGATGAATACAAATTTGTTTAACAATACGCATTATTGGAAAAAATGCTTTGGGTACGAAATACATTGCAAGCAATCATTACAACTATTATCAAGTTCAATAACTACAATATTATTTTATAATAATATAAACAACTTTATTACAAATATGTATAGCTTCAAAACAAAATTAGAAATATTATTTGAATTAAATATTTAAAAGGAAGACAAATAAGGGGGGGGGATAACAAAGAGAGCACAGTTACAAAGAAGTGAAGCTTTTTTAGAATGAACCTATTTCTGACTGTTCAGGATAGAATTATTATTAAATTTTATGCAGATGATTTCAACAAGGAAATTTTAATGTGTTGAAATTTGTAATTATAAAAATTTACAGTTCAAATCTAAATGTAAGGATATGATAAAGGTGATGAAACGGTTTAACATATCAGATAAAGTTAAGATTTAAAGCACCGCTTTGATCAGCTTTCAGAACTGTTAAGATTAAAGCAATGCCCCACAGTGGATATCCTAGTTAGTGAAAGTACTGAATTAGGCTTTTGCACACAGAGGGCACTTAAAATCTATTTATCTACATCTATTCTAGAGAGGTTATTAGTAATGTGTACAAAACTGTGCCTTCCATTTTCTGAGGTGCTCTCGATCAAAACTGGTATGGAACTGGTCATGCAATCCTCAGTAGCTTTGATTTTAATAATTTGATCCAATCCGTCCCTCCAGTAATGGTGGATAAAATAAATAAATTATAAAAAAAAAAAATCAATACAAAAAAATTATTTTTAAAAAATCTAAAAATGGCAAATTAATCAATTGCCACAGTAAGCAATTTTACACCTAAATTACATAAAGCAGAAAAATTGCTCAATCAATAACACGCACAGGACAGCCAGTCGACGAACAGTAAACAATTACTGCTTGTCATTTTCGGCGAAGTCTTTTTGCCTGTTGATTGAAAATAATTATATATATTAATTTCAAATGTGCTTAATCCATACTATCCTCACTCACTTTACATTTGTTTAGTTATTGTAAAATTAATTTTCATACTTTAGTTTTTTTATTTATCTTTAATTTTACTTTTTGTATTAATACTTTTATTTGATAGCATTTTATTTAATTTGAATTATTTATTGTTTTATTTATTTATTATTTCATTTACATGTTTCTCTCACTGCTGCTCAAGACCTTCCATTTAGTCTCTTTTAATTTTAAAAATAAACCTTGAATTCAATGTATTTATTATCTTGATGAAGATCCCTGTAGCAAATGATGTATATGCATTAAAGCAACGAGAATTTAAGTTATTATAAAAATATTTCTTGTGAAGGGGAGCAAAAGAGCAGACAAAAATTTCACATTCTGTTTTTAGTTTGCATCATTTTCCATAATAATTCACAACAAAAATCAGCGTTATATTTACAAAATTTTCACAGGACTAGTTTCGATGGTTTTACGGAACCACCATCCTCAGCTGCAAAACCGCAAATGAGCAAGATAGGAAATAATGATTAGATAAGATAAGAAAGCCTGGACAAGAATATGCAAGTGGCGCCATCTGTTGGTGAAACCAGAACTAAAACATAATTTCTTTGAAGGCCGAAGGCAAATTTGGATTGGAATTAGGATCGTTAACTAGAACAGAAAGATTTTTATGAATGTGAAATGCCTCTAGAAAATCCAGTTCTCCAATGGAAGATGTTTTTTGAATAATTTTGGTAGCAGAAAAATTGAAAGTGTGGTTTTCGGACCAACAATGTTGAACAACAGCAGACTTCTGTGTTTCCTTTTTTCTAACAAATGCCTCATGTTCCTTGACGCGAAATTTTAAGGCTCTCTTAGTTTGGCCAATGTAAATTAAACCCCACTGGCAAGGAATCCTATAAATACCCCAGGAATTCATATCCGGAATGGGGTCCTTGAATATGGAACTCGGAATTTTATTGATGGGAGAATAAACAACCCGAAAGTTAAATTTCTGCAAAATATGTGCAACTTTATAGCTAATTGATGGAACGAAGGGAATGACATACAGCCTTTTTTCCCTATAATCTCCCTAAAACTTAAGTACAGTGTGCCTGAGAGTTTAGCAGTGGCGTAGCAAGCATAACTGGCGCCCGGGGCAAAATACCTTTTTGCGCCCCCCCCCCACAAAAAAAACTTTCAGTAGTAATATAATGTATAGAATATATTCGTAATAAAGAAAATAATGCAAATAATAATAAAATGCTGAATCTGCCATAAAATACTCAAAAATACATATTAAGAATTAGTCACTACCTAACTGCACTAGCCTTGGATTAGGAAATGCATCTGTGTCGGCGGAAAAATCAGACATACGATGATCTAGAATTAGTTAAAAAGGTGTTATTTATTTTACATATATATATATAAGTGTTTTTTAAAAAGTACAGTTTTTAAACAATTAAAAGTTTAATATACATTATAGATAAATAGATATGTGGCAACTTGCCTACTACAACTCAACTCTGCCAGTCCTGATAACCCATAGCAACCAAAAACAAAAAATAATATTTGTTCCATTCAATTGTTATAATTATTTAACGATCTGTCTCAAAAAATTGTACTACCATAATTGGTGACACGTATTTATTACGAATGGCAACCTTCAATGTTTTGCACAAGTATAGGGAGTTTATATGTCTAAATTCTGAGCAGCAGTAAGTTATCCAGTGTGATGAGATGCAAGTAAGACATTCACCTGTCATTTCAAGCTTTTTGCCGCATTCCGGTGAGTCAACATATTTCTGTCATAATTTCAGCGGATATATGTATCGTCTGCTGCATTTGAGCCTCCAATTTCTCTGATTTCAAGTACCAAGAAACTGTGTCACTATATACATATTGATTATTTTTCTATACATATTATTATTTTGCATATTGAATACATATTATTATTGTGCATATTTGATTGAGCTAAAGTGGTTGACAACGATGTTGCTTCGCAATTGGCGAGAGTGGCAGTTAAGCCACCGCCTTTTTCTCGCCGAGACCCATCGTTATGGTTCATTCAATTGGATGCGCAGTTGAGTCACATTACTGCCGACGAAACTCAATTTTATACAGTAATCGCTGCGTTAGAATCAGAGGTACTGCAATCAGCTCATGAAATAATTTTGAATCCATCGACGGCGGACAAATACAAATCTTTAAAAAAAAATTAATTTCTGTTTATGAAGAATCCGAGACAGTTAAATTCGAGCAGCTGTTGCATGATTTACGGTTGGATGATATGGGGCCTTCTCACTTGCTGTCTAAAATGTCAGATTTAGTCGCCGGTAACCTAACGGATAACATTCTTAAAACATTATGGATGACTAGACTCCCATCTAACATGCAAACCATTTTAGCGGCCAGTAGCGAGCCACTTAAAAATCTTCCCGAAATCGCTGATAAAATTCACGAGATGGCCATTCCAGCGCAAATACACGCAGTGCAGGCTCCTGGTCCAGGTATTGTGGCGTTACAAGCTTATATTGATGATTTGTCCAAACAGATTGCTCAGTTAGTAGTCATCCAAGCTTAACCTTTCCAGCGCAACCGCTCCGCATCACGTGGTCGAAATACACGCTGTAGCCAACTGAGGAAACGTTATCAAAGCCCTCCTTTGGGTCATAATAGTCATAATACAGGGAAGAACCAATCCTCCTAGTCCCATGGACCATATGATTATGAAAGGTCGACCCCCTCAAAACCACAAAAGGAAAGAAGAGAGAAAAAGAAGCTAATTATCTAAAAATAACTGGAGGTTAATTAACGAACTAAAAATAAGGAAGAGACATACAAACAACGAAGCACAACACCAACATTCAAAATCCAAACACAATGAAAAACCCCACGAGCAAACAGAGTGGCGGAAACTCTCAAGAAATATTCATTCACATGAATTTTCGGAACAGGCACAGGCGGTCCAAAGCCATCGAGGAATTCCCAATTTAAATAACCAGCAGAAGGTCAAACCGAATTCCCTACAGTATTGCTTTAATAGCATATTATTTGTATAATCATAATTCTATTTAAACTGTTAATTTATTTTAAAAATTTACTTTAATAGTCCTACTACTATCTGAATTCAAATGTATTAATTATCCTTAATAATCATAGAAAAGAAGCTCCAGGACTGCCAATAACCGAAACTGGAAAAATTTAAGATTGCCATGTATCATATTAAAACCCTAGTAATTACTTCATTAAGAACAGAATATAAGAAAAATTTTAAAACTTTAAAATTTCAGAACATTTTAAAATCAAAAACTACAATTAAAAAAATATGAAAATTCCATAAAATTTAAAATTTAAAAATCAAAATCCTAAAACTCAAAACCACTAATTTCGATAATTTAGGATTCTCAACATTTGCATCAGGATTCTCAACATTTGCAAGGCCATATCTATGTAACAATCAACTGCATCTCTTCGAAATACCGCATGTACAAAACATCCACAATGCATTAAATAAAACAGTACACAGAAAAATTTCAAAATTTTCGTAGTAAACCTATAAATACTCATAACTGATAATATAATACATATAATCAAAGATAATATATACACAATACTAAACAAATATTCCAAATTCAATATTAGAATTGATCAAATCCATTGCACATTTAGAATATGTTTTTACGATTTTTAAGTTCCATGACTTATCTCCCAAACATTTCTTTCTCAAATTTTCCAATAAGGAACAATGATTCAAGAAGTGATCTGCGTTACCAACTTGATGGCAATGACCACACAAGTCTGAATTTTGTAAATTAAATCTCGAGAGGTACGCGGGAAATCTTCCATGCCCAGTTAAAAACTGGCTTAAATCAATATTACTAATTGGTCGCATACCATTTTGAATTTTAATATACTTAAGAAAAAAAATATATTATGCGAAAAATATATTGTGCGTGGGTCTTTATACAAAAGACCCACGCACCTCTCTGATTCATTCCATCTAGTAGTATTCCAAATATCATTATAAAAATTTTTCATGTTTCTAATTGCATAACTTCTCAAACCAGAAATTTCTATTTATATTCACAATCATCATTAGTGGTCGCCTCTTTAGCCAGCACGTCGGCCGTTTCATTTCCAACAAAGTCAACATGCGCTTTTATCCAGTGTAAATGAATGCACATATTCTGCATCAAAAATTTCAATAGACATTTAATATCAAATATTAATAAATTAGTAGGACGGGCCGAGGTCAAGGATTGAAGCAAAGACATACAGTCAGTATATATATGAATAGAATTAACACAAGTCAAAATTTTCTTAACCCATTGAAGGGCTTTAACTAAAGCACAGCATTCCGATTGAAATACAGAATTATAATTATTAAGCATATTTTTTATTTTCAATTTCAGTTCCATAATGATAAATCACAAATGCTGCTCCCAATTTATCATCTTGCCTGGACCCGTCAGTATAAATATCCAATTCTCCGACTATTGGGGAGTTTACAATCAAATTCAAAAACACATAAATCAGAAGGATGTACCAAAATATTATTAATTCTTTCAAACATATGCCTTGTAATCAAAATATCTTTATACAATTTAAAA